GGGTTAGATATCTCCACGACGTGGTGGGCTTCGGATGTGCTAACAGATAAAGATCGAAGGCTATTCCCCTCCTTTGGCGGTACACCCAATGCACCTGACCAAGAACTTGAGATCTAACAGTTGGACTATTTTAAGTAATTTATTTAATTTGATTCAGTTGTAGATGTCTAATTCCCTGTACCCGTAAAAGATCTCTACAGTTATAGGCTCGATATAGGCAAATGATATTTTCATTATGAAATAATCCTCGGTGACTTTATCCTCCTTCACCTTATAAAATGTTACAGTCGAGTGTTAGGAATTATTTTTCAGGTGCAAATGTTGGTATTTTTTTTTACTTAGAAGTATTTCAAACTTTCGACCAGACTAATCCTCTAAAGTTGTGTAGAATCTTGCCCCAAAAATACATAGTGAAGTAGCACACAGATATCAATCATAGGACTTATTGATAACTATCAAATTACGAAATCAGTCGGACCACTTTCAGTACTGCTTTTTATTAAGATTTAAGGTTACGTGCTCACTGAAATTGTCCTATTGAAAAAGTGCTAAGGTTGAGCAAACACCACCATATCTACACTGCTTTAGAACTGAATCTTATGAATGAAGAAAAATTAAGTCTCATCGAGTTGACAACGATGGAGGAGTAGTCCCAGCTCTTAAAAGAAAATTCAATCTCTAAGCTGCCTGTAACAAAATATATGACAAAGTATAAAGCGTTCGACAGAAACAGATACACATTCCCTTTTCAGAACATATAGACGTGCATTTTACATGATTCCAGTTTTTGCAAGTATTAACCTCTGTTAATCTTCCTTTTCCTCTGTGATTGGGAGTCGTAATAATTCCATCCTTGAATGACACATTGCCTTTTGTCATCATACCTTTTTTCTTTTTTTCCAGTTACAGGATATCCAGAATCAGAAACACTTGCTATGATGTTTCAGCACAAAACATGTATAGAAGTCCAAACTATCCATCAAGAACAAAAATGTGAAACATTTTGTCAAAAACACGAGCATCTAATAAGTTGAATTTATGTAAACACAGAGTAGTGAGGAACAATTTTGGTGCTAGCTTTGCATTACTTAGACTCTATTTGATAACTCAATTCGGCATTTAAATTTAGTGGAATCAGAGCTTAATATATATATTCAAACTGTTTGATAATAAAAAATTGAACATCTGAATTAATTAAGTGGCACTGAATTTTCTAGGCAAAACTTGCTCTCAAAATTAAGTGATAAGCTATTCACTTATCACTGAATACGACATGCATTCAAATGTATTAGATTTAAAACTTAACGATTTAATAACTTAATGAATTCGAATTTCAAATTTCAGATTTCATACTTCAATTTTATCAAACACATCCTTACTCTGCAACGCAGAATGTTGGGTGGTGTTCATACAGGGCAACATTATGTTACCTACTAGTTAAAGTGCGAGCTAAGTTGTAATGTTGAGCCCCTTAATACAACACATTACAGATGCAAACTATTGACTGCCAAAACAAGTGAAGAATAATGAGATGGAAAATCAGTTCATTCAAAGGAATTTCCCAAAGCAGCTAGCTTTGGTAAATAAAACAATTTTCCGCCCCTTTTTGCACTTGTACGACGCATTAATAGGTTCAACCCAATAATACCAAAAACTTTTTGCTGAATGCATTACTAAATGCTACCTTTATAGCCTATCACCTCCTAAAAAATTCTTGATCAATCTAAATCCGTAACAGACACCGGAAATTCGAAGAATACTAGTTATCTGCTCTTCTAAAGGAGTCACTCTTCCCCCAAATTTCAATTAGATCAAACAACATATAGGGATTCTTAGCTTTTTTGTTCCTTATGGTAAGCAAAAGCAAATGACTAAAACAGCCCCACTCATATTTCATGGCTGAAACAAAGAACAGCACAAAAATCTTTACCTTAATTCGACTCGACTCATAAAGGTACCATTTTTTCCAGATAAAACACAACTCACTCCATAATGCTTTGTTCTGAACTTATGTCATATGTCCAGTTCAAATTTTTGTTCCTAGGTGTTGAAGGACTTTTAAACAGACCGACCGGGAAAAAAAAAAAAGAGCCTTTTATTGTGGATTTTTGAGCCGACAATTGCCCTTGAAATCAAATTTCGTTAGAAAATGCTGCCAATTGAAGCTTCAAAGTATGCAGGAGAAACCAATAACTCTTTAACTTTTACAAGCCCAAGTGACAATTCTCGCAAAGAATTTGAAGTGTTATCAAACCCAAGACGGCCCAAAAAAAAATGCAAATAGAACGGGGCAAAGAAATTCTTGAAGGCTTTATATATCCAAATAAAGGATAGTGAGAGATTTACAAAGCATGTATACATATAAATGCTAACAAAAGTGCAAAAGTGCTTATGGAGCTGACCAGAAGTGTGCTCAGGTGAGTTGAGGTTTGAGAGAGGGCGACTAGGAGATTTTTCTGAATGCTGCCTTCTCCCCATTAGTGCTGTTTCTGCATTTTGGACCGTTATCTATGTGGGTTTTTATTTTGTTTGAAATTCGTAAACAGGTTAAGAGCCCCAAAGTAAATTACATTGGAAACTATAATTTTATCCGTGCCTTAGTACGGTCTTTTTTTATTTATTGTGGATTTATACAAATATGAATAATTTAAATATAAAAATTAACAACAGTTCTACATGTTCTTTCATATTAATTTTAAAAAAATTAATGTATTTTAAATGTTCAATTATTTACTAATTTTTAAAAATTTGTTTTCGTACTTTCAGTATAATATGATAGTACACATCAAATAATGCATCTCATATCCAAAACTTGGTAGATATTCTTTTTTTATAAATATTCTTTTAGATAATTTAAATTTTTATAATGACCATAAACCTAGAATTATATATTCATACTTAATTAAGTAGAAAAAGATCCATTAATCCATTTTTCTTCATCAATAAATATTCGATTTCTAATAATATTAGTAAATCTATCGGTGTAACAATTAATTCTCTTTTTTACACTAAATTAATTCAAAATTAAGAAGAGATGATGAACAATTTGAATACTAATTAATGATATAGTGGTGAATGGAAGTAAGTGATGGGATATGTAAGATTTCAATAATTGTGACTTAAAAAGGTTTTACTATACTTCTATGTAGTAATTTGATAGAAAGCAGATATCATTAAGATAAAATTAGTTATTTTTTAAAGTTATTTTAAAATTAAAGATAATTTTTAAACATAAAATATAATCATTGTAATAATTTGATAGAAAATAGATATCGTTAAGATAAGATTAGTTGTTTTTTAAAGTTATTCCAAATAGGGTTTAGTATGGGTAAAACCAAGTGATTCATAATCCATTAATTCTCTTCAACGAGGCATGTCACATAGGAGTGAGAAACACTGTAATTAAAATAACTACTTTCATATATATATCTTACTATAAGATAAACAAAAGGCTAATGTTATCGTAGCGGCTTCTTTTGCTGACACATGACACAATGAATGAATTTTGAGCTTTTTCTTTTGCTTTGTATATAGGCTTGACATTGTCTTATGAAGTTGGCATTGCTTTAGATGTGCTCAATGACCTTAATTAGATTGCGTTTAACATTTCTTTATAAGGTTGCATTATTTTGGGTAGACTTTTCAACCTCTACATTCTGAACAAATATAATTCAATTATACAATTTATATATATAATTATTAATATTTACATTAACATTTCAACTTATATTCCACAGATTAACTTAAGATTTAATTATTTCTATTCAAGTTTTCAACATTATGATTTAAAATTAAATTTGTCAAATTAAATTATCATTGAAAGTTAATGTGTTCAATGACCTAAATTAGATTGCATTTAACATTTGTTTATAAGGTTGCTTGCATTATTTTGAGCAGACTTTTCAACCTCTACACTCTGAACAGATATAATTCAATTATACAATTTATATATAAAATTATTAACATTTACATTAACATTTCAACTTATATTTCACAGATTAACATAAGATTTAATTATTTCTATTCAAGTTTTCAACATTATCATTTAAAATTAAATTTGTCAAATTAAGTCATCATTTAAAGTTAATATAAAGCAAAAGATTATTTAAAATTTATGCTATCCTATTATACAATTCATATATAAAATTATTCTATTTACATTAACATTTCAACTTATATTTGACATATTCAATTATACAATATATATATATAATTATTAATATTTACATTAACATTTCAACTTATATTCCACAGATTAACTTAAGATTTAATTATTTCTATTCAAGTTTTCAACATTATGATTTAAAATTAAATTTGTCAAATTAAGTTATCATTGAAAGTTAATGTGCTCAATGACCTAAATTAAATTGCATTTAACATTTGTTTATAAGGTTGCATTATTTTGAGCAGACTTTTCAACCTCTACATTCTGAACAGATATAATTCAATTATACAATTTATATATAAAATTATTAACATTTACATTAACATTTCAACTTATATTTCATAGATTAACATAAGATTTAATTATTTCTATTCAAGTTTTCAACATTATCATTTAAAATTAAATTTGTCAAATTAAGTCATCATTTAAAGTTAATATAAAGCAAAAGATTATTTAAAATTTATGCTATCCTATTATACAATTCATAAATTAAATTATTATATTTACATTAACATTTCAACTTATATTTGACAGATTAACTTTAGATTTAATTATTTCTATTCAATTTTTCAACATTATCATTTAAAATTAAATTTGTCAAATTAAGTTATCATTTGTTTTATTGTCATCTAAAGTTATACAATTGAACTAACATTGCCACTTAATATTATATATTTTTATTATCAATCTACTTTAATTCATTTATACGTTTGGTTCTTAAAGTTATATCAATTCCAGTTAAAAGTTGAATACTTCCAATTAAGAGTTGAATACACTTCCAACTTATTTCTATTCAAGAAGCTCTCAGAGTGATCGATTCCAATTAGGAGTATTCCACAGAAAGCAACTCAGAGATTGTTTGGTTGTCCGGTTTTTACTCTGGTTCGTTTGTAACAAAGTCAAAAAAAATAAGCATTCTTTAACCACTCTGCATTCTTCACCTAATCAGATTAGACAAGTGCTTTCTTTGTAAGAGTTAGGTTGTACTTCATAGAAATGTCGTCAATCTTTTGATAAGTTATCAGTTGTACTTTATCTTTTCATAGCCATTAGATTCAAATATAAAGTACTAGATTAGTTGAGATTGAATGGTCCAGCTTTGAATAGTGCAGTCCACGCTACTACATACACTAATAGCTGCTGTCCCGCTTCTTTTCTCTTCCACTCGCGCATACCAGAAACAAATCTTCCTGCACTTTCTTGCATTCTGATCCTTTGGTAATACCATTTTTCTTAGCTTTTCCTTCATCATATATATGCATTAGTAACATATAGCTTCTTTTACATGTTTTCTATTTTCACGTTGCAGCATTGCTTTTAGCATTGAAGATTTGACTTGCACCATCACTTTACTTCAGGTTAGTCATATTACTCGTAACTAGCCTGCCTAATGTTTGATAAAATGCTTGTTAAGCTTTCTTAATGCTTCATATTTACAAATTTCATAAGTATTGGTAGTTACTTATTATTGAATTATATATTCTGTATGCTTATGATTGTGAGCTCCGTTAATGAATTTTCAAGTAACATGGTTAGTCCAAGCTATTTGTTCATGTGCAAGATGTTTGCTTATTTCTTTAATGCATAGCTAAGATAATTGAATGCCTGTTTCATCATGAGTTAAATTTTGACAGTCATAGGAAACGAAGAATGAACTAGACAAGCTAACATAATTATTGACTCGGCTGACAAAGGATGTAATAACAAATTTTATGCTAGTCAATATCAGGAAATTGTAACATGCAAGTTGAAGACCAAAATTTCAAAAGTTCATTGTCTAGATCATCCGCATTACTTTGACTAAATGAGGCAAAAAATTTATTGTCACAAAAACCAAATATCAACGTATAAATTAATTAAAATAAAATTGATAACAAAATTGCATGGTATACTTGGTCATCATTTTAGTTAGCATTAATGCCTCACATTTTAACAAAATATCAATGTATTACAACTCAAAAGAAAATTGAAAAAAAAAATGACTAGGTTCATTTGTTCAAATTCAAATACTAATATTCCAACTTCTCTCTATTTCACAAACATTCCATCAAATTTTGCTAACTTTAAACACCTCAAGGTGGGCACTGGCTGTGCGTAGCACAGCGAGGCCTTACTAGTATATATATATATATATATATATATATATATAGATTGCGTAGGTGGATTCTGCGGGAACTTAAAGATGGCCTTCTAACATTGCTGCTGAATTATGGGCCCTAAGATATGGCCTAATCTCGGCTGATTCGTTGAGCATTATCCTTCTGGAGACTGGGGTTGATGCAAAAGAACTCTACCATCTTTGAGCATTATCCATCTGTACTTAGTCCTATGACCAATAAGAACTCTACCAAATTTCTTTCATCTGCCATTTCCTACAGTTAATTAATTACTTAGCCCCAAAATGAATGTTGTTCTCTCAGGTAACGTACACCGTAGCACTATTACGATTAAATTCAGGAAAAGATTTGCACACAAATCCTTAAAGGAGTTAGTAGTACTATGCATGATCTTCTTCTAGTATTCCTACGTACTTTCCCTGCATTTTTTGTCCATTTTCCTAGTCATACAGGACGATAGTAACAAGTCTATACTTCTGATAAAAGAAAGCTGAAAGAATTCTGTGGCTTTGGATTCTTGGGGCGGATAGTGTCTGCCAGCTTATTAATTTCCTATACTTGGAATGGCAACAGACAGTATAAATTGCTTATTCTGTGATACCACTACGTATATTTGCTAAAATTGCATGCAAGATAACGCGTCAATACAATCAGAATTAACACAGGAAAAAGGGTTCCAGCCAAGCCTTCTTTTTTGGTACTAAACTGGAAGTGGGTTTTGAGTTCTGGTGATGAATGGATAGAGAAAAAAAGTAAAAATAAGGAGATGAGGGCGGTGGAGCTAGCTGTGGAGATCATTTTTCTAGGCTGCATTCTGCTACGGGGGCCAAGCTTCACCAGTGCAGACACAGATCCAAATGATGGTCAGTTTGCTTGCTTGTAGACTCAAAGCCTCTGTCTCTCTCTCTTTTCTTTTCTAATTTTCTGTGGTATGAACTCTGAAGTGAGTTTATGCACTTGAAAAATGAGCCGTAGAATGCATGCAAATGTAGTGTCTCTTCTTACAAACTATAGTCATTGGTGTACATCTTAGTATTGATCTTTTGACTCCTATTAAAGCAGTTAATAGTAGAATTATTGGAATTTTGGATGTACAATTGCTGCTCTTTTGGACCTGTATAGAAATTTGAGTTGCCCACCCCAGCTGACCAATTGGAAACCAAATGGTGGTGATGCTTGTGAAGAAAATTGGAAAGGCATTACCTGCTCTGGCTCAAGAGTAACAGCAATGTAACTCTCATACCCTAGCACTTTGTCATGATAATTATCTCATTGCCTGTTATTCTCACGCCTCTTTAAGTATAGATTGTTCCTTTTTGTGCCTTTTTTTATCAATGCGTGCCATTTTTGTCCCATGATACAGAAATCTAGCTAGTGATGGCTTCAGTGGTAGCCTTCCCTACTCCATCTCACAGATGACTTCCCTTAAGTACATGTAGGTTAAATGCTCATTGATCTAAATCCTAATTAACTTAGAATTTTTCCTGGAAGTAATCATGTGTCTTTTCTTCTCATTTTATTTGTAGAAATGTTAGTCACAACAAATTTCATGGCCATCTAAGAGATATGTTTGCATCTCTTACAAGTCTATTCATTCTGTAAGACATGCCTCCTTACACCTTCAAATTCTGAAAATTCTTGTAGATGACATGCTTCAAATTGATTTGGGCCTCGAACATGATTTTGTGGTTGCTTTTTTGTTCAGGGATCTCTCTTTTAATGTGATGTCAGGTGATCTTCCTAAAAGTTTCAGTTTATGCTCCAATTTGACTTTTATGTAAGTGCATTATCCTCACCTCTCACAATAGCGTTGAAGAAGCATTATAATACTAATGATAACTTATTATAATGCAGGGATTTACAGAACAATCAGTTTACGGGTACCATTGATGTCCTTGCCAATCTCCCTCTTAAATATTTGTAAGCTAATATTATTGATAGCTTAGTAAAAGAAAAGTATTTGGTGGTTTTCACTGGGAAATTATTGAGCTGATTTGCATTGATGTTGTTAGGAACATTGAGAACAACCATTTCAGTGGCAAGATTCCTGACCGATTGAAAGGCATAAATCTGCAGTAAGCACCTCATGTTGTTTGTCAATATTTGCATTTAAAATTCTATATACTAGGTTTTGTAGATACGCATTAAGATATTCTATTCTCGTAACAGAATAGGCGGTACCTCTGGTCCTGCACCTGGTGCTAGCAGACCTAATGGCTTCGGTATTGGAGGTATTTTAGCAACTGTGATTTTCCTTTCAGTCGTGGGAGCCATGATAGCATTTTTTATCATGAAAAGGAGATCAAGGAAGCCATCCACGGTGATAGAAAATTACCCTGTTTTTCCACTTGCTTCGCATGAAGAACAAGGTACTTATCCTGGGATTTACTTCAAGAGGTTTTGGATTCAATCATATGATGCATACTTTTATATTTTACCTGGCAAAAAGTATTATTCCGTTTCCCATGGTGATATGGTTGCCTATTTCACTATCTTGTTTTACAGTGATATTGGATATTTAGCCATAGGAAAGTACAGTAGCAAGAGTATTGGTTTTGTTCATCATTTGCTATGTCTTCTATAATTACTAGGCTTTTTGTGATAATTTTTTTGCAGAGATGAAGTCTATTCAATCTTCTTCCACAACTCGCTTAGAGCCTCTCCACCTATTGATGATCAGAAATTAGTTGATGAAGATGATACATCAGTGATCATCTAGTATTGAATTAGTTACAGTTACTGAATTTAGGAGATTAGCCAAAAATGAAACTGATGGTTCAAAAGAAAGCATGTATCTAGTATTCAAACAATTACAGAAAGGAACGGAGGCAAATTTCATTTACGGATCATTTTCTAATCTATTTTGCTACCTGAAATAGACTGTTGCAGGATGATAAAACATGGTCTCAAAATGATTGTTCACATTATTTTAATTATTAGAAGTTAAAGGATAAAAAACAACTCACCGAAAAAAGAATCAAATTGGGGCATGGTTAATTTTACGTGGTCCTAAGAATGTTGAACAGAATTTGCATAATAAATATCATATTTTGTGCTAATGTAACAATTAAAAGAAATCCCAGTATGTATGTCTTGTTTTATATATATATATATATATATATATATATATACACACACACACATGTATGTATATACATACACTAGTATGTATATATATATTTTACGTAAATATAGCCACTTTTCCCAGCAAAATCAACTGTATTCTTACTTATCCTAATCAAGTAAACTGAATCAATGGTAGTGCACTTTCGTTACCTATCTATCACCTCGGATTAAACATCGTAAAGGTTTCTGGAAAGCTTGATTTAGTTTAGAAAAGATTTTCTTATGATGGTGGTAGTTGCATGGTTATTTAATACATGGGGAATCACTTAACAGAAAAAAAAAACATAGCTACGGATAATTGATCCGCGCGCAACCTTCAGGCAAACATATTTAGATCGCTTTTGTAGGTGAAAAGGAAAGTAATACTCTATATATTTAGATCACAATTCTCATGCTTTATTCAGCCAAAGTTGAGCAACACAAAGCACTTTGATTGTACATGTTCTGGGAACTGCAGAGGAAACTAGTAGATGCAGCTATATTCAAAATTTTGATCCACTAGGAGTTCTATTCTGATTGTACAAGTGCTCATGTATACTGTACCCTATTGCTAAGGGTTGTACTTCTTCCACATTTTTGTTTCTCTTTTTCTTAAATTATAAGAAAGGGATAAATTTAGAAACTTCCCGTAAAGTTTTTTACCATTTCACTTATTTTCCTCGAAATTTTAAAAATTACACTTACCTCTCTTGATTTGACACTTTAGTAACTAAACCTTAAAATAGGGTAAAAACTTTAATGAATATCCTGAAATGCCCTTATCTTAAAATTTTTAATTTATTCTTCTAAACAATTGTAAAGTAATTTGACAAAATTATAAAAGGAATGAGTGTCAAGTTTTTCATATCAATATTTGTTATCTGATAATTAACTATAACAATAAATATTTTGGTATAATAGGCTACTTTTCATAGTGCGTTATTGGGGATATAGATTCTTTTTAAGATAAAGAAGAAAGTGTTATATATATTTTTTAAATGTTTATGGACTAGTTTTTTTTTTTTTTTGAAGAAAGTTTATGAATTAGTTTAGTGATGGAACTATCATAGTTTAGTAGTGATTTTGTGCCATTTATTTTTATTTTTATTAATCTATTCTTGATTTTGATACCCAAAAAAAAAAAGAGCTACAAAAAAAATTGGGGATATTCAAAGTTATCAAAAAAAAATATATTACTAGTTTAATATTTGATCAAAATAGAGGTTAGGGACAATATTGGTAGTTCTTCTATATTTCTAATAAAATATAAGAGAAATGAATAAGAAGGAAAAAAAATTATAAAATCCATTCTTTGTATAAACATGGCAACAAGGGAGTTCTATTAAAATATTAAGGTTAGTATTGTTATTTTAAATGGACAAGGAAGGTAGATATAATTTTTAAAACCTTAAGAAAATTAAGTGAAATAGTTAAAAACCACAGGGGAGGTTTCTGAAATTATCCCATTAAAAAAATGATTAACTTCCTCGTTTTAAAAGAAAGATGTTACTTCCAATAAAAAAAAAATACAAAAGACGATAAAACAAACATTTATGGAGGGATTAGATGCAAAATGCCGGCCTTCAAATGTATGACGTTAAGAAGGCCTTGCTGTTGCTTGAGAAGTAAACACGTCTTCAGTTTTCTGACAGCAAAAGCGCATCCCACTGCATGATAAAACTCCCAGGAGTCTCACGGACAAAGCAGGCTTTTTCGGTACTTAAAAGCATGGTTTAAGTTACCATGAAACACGCCTTCGCATCCTCCAACATTTAACTAGCTAACCCCACAATCAAGAACTCTCCATGGCAACATGATGTAGTTCCAAATTAGATTAGAACTTGCATTTTTTTTTTTTTTAACTTGGATCATTCTGTCTAGAAAATCACTACTTATTACTTAGCCTCAAATCATCTCACTTCGTCACCAATTTCACTGGTAGATGTTCCCTTCATGATTTGGTACCAAAGCAAAATCCAAAATGATGTTATCCTTTTGAAATTGGATTTATAATTGAATTTTTCTAGTGTTTCTAGAAGTTTTAATTATATCAGCTAGGTTTAGACATTATTTTATCTCAAACATTTTTAGGGAACCTGTATACAATTTTACAATTTTCATTGTAATGATATTATTATAAACGCCAGAGTGCTGATGACATATGATATCATATATTGGAAGTTGTTCTTTTGGTTTATTTGGCATTTTATTACATTTACAACCTTATTGCACTTCCATATTACACGAGAAAGAATGTAGCTTTTTTCTTTTTTCTTAATAGTGTAAGTGAGGGGTTTCGAATTACTTACACTTCCTTCTCCCGTACCACCAAATTCTTTCCCCTTTCTCACCTCAAGAAAGAATGTACCCTAACTTCAATGTACTTTACTATAGACGGTGTTTTAAGTATAAAAATATTTATTTTTCTAAAATAGTTTTTTTTTTTTTAAAATCCCTACCAAACATAGTCACAATTTTAGAAGTCTAATTTTTGGAGAATCAAACACAATCATTTGACAAGTTGTACAATGCAGACTTCAAATCATAAAGGTGATACAGAAAATTTGTTAACACTTAAAAGTTAAAATTAATCTTATATGCACTTGACTTGATAATATAATACATATTATAGTTGGTACATGATACCTATATTAAATTTCAAATTCAAATTCAAATTTTAATTAATTGTAGGTGACAGTATATACTGTCATATTTAGTAAAATAATTCAAAAAATTATCTTCAAAATGATAAAACAACCATATCCTCATAAAACGAAAATAAAAAAAGCAACTTTCACGTTATTATAGTTTTGTACCAAAAACAATAACAAAAACAAAACGAGAGAGAGAGAGAGATCCTCATTTGGGTTCACAAAACCCAACCCTAAGAGCCACGTACACTCTCATCAATACTCCAATGGACCTAACCATCACGGCCCAAAAACACCCTTTACGAATTCATTTTGCCTCTCTCATTTCCCTTCCTTGCTTCTTCCCCAGCAGCCTATATAGTACTAGTATTTTCTACTTTCTCCATCAGCTAAAATCCAATCTTTCAACCAAAACTTCTTCCCTAAATTTTGCTTTTCATCATATTAGAGACAGAACCCCCGTTAACTTTTATCGGCCTCTGTATTTACTTTGGGATAATATTCTGATCGGAGCTAACTTTTCCAGGTATTTTTCAGTCTGAATATTTCTGATTGATATGAATCAGTATTAGATTGTTCAGGTACTTCTTATAGGTTAATTTTGATATGATTCTGCCAGAAAATCGTTGATGATAATCTACGGTTGGTTATTGGAAACATTTTATGTAGAAAATTTATAATTTATCAGTTAAGTTTGTGTATTTATGTTAAATATCGTAAATATGGATCTAATTTGATTGAATTCTTGTGCTTTTTAGGGTTTCTGATTCCGGGTTTTGAAGATAAAGTTAGGTTTCTAGATTAGAGTTAAGAATATTGTAGAGAATTTGTATTCGTCGATATCTCTCAATGGGTAGAAAGAAGCCGAGTGCTCGTGATGATGAGGTGGCCGGGGCGACGCAGGGTGGCGTTGGTGGGGGCAAGCCTAAGAAGAAGAATTTAGTGATTGATGATGATGAGTATTCAGTTGGGACAGAGTTGTCTGAGGAGAGTAATGTTCAGGAAGAGAAGACTGCAACGGTTGGTGGTGGTAAGAAGAAGGGTAAGAAGGGGAATGCAAAGAAAGGAGGATTAAAAGAAGATGACGATGATGATGACCATCCGGAGGAGAGAATTGATGACAAAGAGCATGATGAGGCACTGGATATACAGTTCGCAGGCAAAAAGAAAGGGAAGGCGAAGAAGGGTGGGAACAATAAGAGCAACAGTGTCTTTAGTTCTGGGAACTTTGGGTTGTTAGGGGATGAAGATGGTGAAACTGAGGTTTCTGAATTAACTCAGAGTAGAGATGGTGAGAGTGGGGGTAGTGAGGATGATGGGGAGAATGTGGTCGCCTTTACTGGTAAGAAAAAGCCTACAAAGTCAAAAAAGGGTGGTGGTAAAAGTGTGTTCAGTGCTGCACCATTTGATGCTATTGGAGTTGAGGATGATGAAGCGGTTGGAGGTTCGGTTTCTGGAGAGCTGTCTGATAAGGATGATGAGACAGTGATTGCATTTTCTGGGAAGAAAAAGCCATCAAAATCTGGTAAGAAGGGTGGCAGTGGTGCATTTACGACATCGCCTTTTGGTGCAATTGGTGATGGGGATGATGGAGGTGTTGATGATTTAGTTTCTGGGCAACAGTCTGATAATGGGGAGCCTTTGATTGAGTTCTCTGGGAAGAAGAAGCCATCGAAAACAGGTAAGAAGGGTGGTGGTAGTTTGTTTTCGACATCTAGTTTTAATGGGCTTGAGGACGGGGAAAACAAAGAAGAGAGTAAAGAGGAAGATGAGGATATTGCTTCTATTACCTTCACAGGAAAGAAAAAGAAGTCTTCCAAGTCTTCGAAAAAAAGCAGTGCTAATTCATTTGATGCTGCAGTTCTTGATGAAGAGACCATTGAAGAAGTTTCTATGTCCAAGTCAGGAGCTGAAGCAGCAGGAGATGGTGCCAGTGCTCTGGATGAATTAGACACATCAGTTGCTATGTTTTCTGGTAAGAAGAAGTCATCTAAAAAGAAGGGTAGTGGCGCAATTACTGCACTTGATGCTGGAACTGGGGATGAGTCCTTGGTTGTAGCTGAGGCTGATCAGCCTAGCGTTAGTGATAGTTCAAAGCAGATAGC